GCTAGCCTGCAATCTCAGAAAAGGTGTAGAGGTGGCATATGTCTTGAAAAACATGGCAACTGTGAGAAACAAACTAACTCAATCACCATCTGCTGCAGAAGACCTTAGGGACAAGGGACACATACACAAATACACCTGCATCTGGACCAATGAGCGCCAACACCGGTACAAATCCAGGCTCACACTACCACAACAGTGAAAAATACACACAGAACATCCTATAAGCAGACACAATCCACTGAGGAGTATGTATACCCCGAGGCTTATGAAGGGGGCCGCAATTAAACCTGTCCACAACAACACGTGACTATCTGTAGAGCAAATCAGTCATTTTAATGGGGAAATGTCTTTCAGTCTGGAATGCATAGTTTCATACCACTTCAGTGAATGATTACTGCACAAGCTGTTTATAGGATTTTGTTAATTCCGCATCACACTGAAAACATTATTAGGCAAGATGGTAAATTAGAATAGTAATTGAACTCTTGATAGTGAAAGCCCAGTAGACTGTGATTACCCTGCCCTCATTAAGAAATGCGACTTTCTAATGATACCAACATTTCTGAATGCGTAACGAGTAATCACAAGCAACATAAGCCTTGATTTACAAAAAAAACAAAAACAAAACACAAAAAAGGAACCAATTTAAAAAGGGAAAAGGTCATTACTGATACAAAGTCTTAGAAACTTTTTGATCGGTTTTTCATTTTGCTGCTCCAATCCGATCCAACTTCAATTTCTGACCAGTAATTTCCTTGATTTTTCTATGGCTTTTTAATGATTTTTCCATTATTTTGGGATAAGGATTTTATAACAATCGCTTAAAACAAAATTTAGGGCAAGAAATACTGAAAATCACAGGAAACACTGATGATGACTACACATTTCCATGACTTTTCCTTTATCTTTACAGATTTTCCAGGACAATTGAAACCTTGCAAAAAAAAAAAAAACAACAACTCAAAATCCCAATTCGACGTTTGTGACAGTAAACACACATCACCAAATTCAATCTGTGGATTATGTCATGACGTTTCAGACTGAAAAGCTGACGTTAAATTGCGTTCAATCTGTGTTTTAGTCAAAAACGTGTCAGAATGGCCTGCGGCAACATGGAAGTGTTAAGATAACAGAAGTTACAGTTCAAATGACTGCTTTCAAGTAGCAAAGAATATTCTAAAAATTTATAAAATGCATTACAAGTGCTAAGTGATTCAAAATCGTGCCCTATATTCCTTAGTAGTGCTTTCCTGCCAAAATTGACCAATTGAAATGTCATTTATGGCAGGAACTGAGAGGTTGTGTAGCGTCTAGACTCTGACTCATACTAAAAAAAAAATTAAAAAAAGAACTGGCATTCAACAACTACCATCTGCAACAAAATGCTCCAGCTTCTATGAATGATAACAGCTTTCTGCATGATCTGATACAGTGAAGAGGATAAGCATCCCTCAGTTTCAAAGACAGATAAACAGTGTCGCTTGCACAAATTTACCTTGCTCCTGTGAATGCAATGAGCTGACATTTCGCCACTGTGCTATTTATCAGAGCGCTCATTAATAAAGACCTCATGTATCGCTCAACTTGACGTCGGAGTCAGAAATTAAATTTAGGTTTAGCGTCACAACAGATGTATGCTCAAATAATTATTTGTTCAAATCACTCATGTAGTCCCAGTGTTAAGTAGCTAACCACAAGCAGCAATGCTACTAACCTAACTTCATTTTTCAGTAGTGTGACAGCAGTTCAGGGTGACAGAATATCATGTTATACGGCATCAATTTAGAGCCATATTTCACATATAAGTATTCTTGAGATAAAATAAATAAAATAAAATAAAAAGATTCACTCAGACTATTTGTTATCATTATTTAGTATCATTCAAGTGTGGTCAGCTGTTCTTTTTTATTTTTTGGAATTTCTGTGTTCCAGTTTGATGTTATTCATTTAATTAAAAACCATAGTTTTTTTTTTTTTTCAGATAAATGTTGTTCTTTATCAATGTGTTATTTCTATTATTATAAAATAAAAATACTATAGTTAAAAGTATAATATTTATTAGCTTCAATCTATTTAGCTATGTTTGCAGCTTGACTTCATTATGTAATTATACACAGATTTTAGCTTAGCAAGTGACAGTAGTTAACAGTTCACTGATGGAAACAGAAATATTTCCATTAACCTACTGTATAATAGCAATGTGCAAAGTGACAACTGCTTATTCTCATATGGATGTGGTGAACTAGAAATCTCAAGAAGTGTTTTATACTGCAACTGATGACGTGCTAGCATGACTGTCAGGCTAAATTCAATTTCCAGTCGCAGCTGGGGCTGCTGGCCTGCTTTGCCCCTGACCAGTCTTGGCATGTGTGCTGAGTTATGGGCTGAATCGAGAAGCACAATTGATCTTTTTTGAGGTTGAGGTTACTGAGAAGGTGAGGGCATAGAGAAGCATTGCATCTGTACACCTCCACGAGAATATGCATTTGGATTGAAGGAGAATAAAAAAACAATAGCATGAAAGAGAAAGAGAGACGGAAAGAGTAAAGTCAAATTGACAATAATAAGAAGAAAGGTTGTTGTGTGCTTGCTACATGAGATTTGTGGTAAAGGTTATTGTCTTTAATAAAAACAAGCAGTATGTTATATATTTTTGTTAACTAAAATCAAAATATAATAAATAATAATTAATAAATATAATAAATAATAATTGAATTTATCTCCCATTATTAAGCGTGTGTGCTGCCCAGTTGATTGACATGTACGTGTATGTGATTTTTCAGGGAAAGTAAAGCTGGAGGAGAGGAAGACGACCAGCTGCTCCTGGAAATTGAATTCAGCCAGTCATGCTAGCATGTCATCAGTTGCAGTATTAAAAAATGAAAAAAGAAAGAAAGAAAAACCTTCTGGGGTTTGCTAGATCTTTATAAGACTAAGAAATAGTCACATTGTACAATGTAAAATAGATATGAGTCTCATTTATTTGATTCAAATCTAGCAACTAAATGTTCTCTGGTGCGGACCACCTGGGGTTGACAAAAAAATCTTGTAAAAACAAACCAAACCAAACCAAGGGCCCGTTCTTCGTACGTCGCTAACTAAGTTAGCTGGATTTGATTGTTGACGATTTGGCATGATCTTGGATTGTTTGGTTCTTCGAAGCTCATCCCGGAGTTGCTGTCATAGCAACAGGTC